AAACAGAACAGAACGCTGGGAGGAAGAGGAAGCGAGCTCAGACTCCACAGCTCTCCTCTCGGGAGCAGATGCCTCAGAGAGACGCCATGCTCCCAGCTCCCAGGCAGACGCAAACGATAAAGCTCTGACCCATGATGGACATAGGCTAGAATCTTCCCGGTAAGCGCACCTAGGGGCGCTACACAGATGACTAGAAATGGGCTAAAGTAATATGTGAGAATTAGCCTAGAAGAGGCTAGATAGAATTGGGCCAAGCAGTGATTAAAAGAATACAGTGTCCATGTAATTATTTTGGGTAAAGCTAGCCGGGCAGGCGGCTGGGGTGTTAGGGATGCAGCCCCGCCGCTTATATTACTACATTTATTCTGTATCATTGCATATTACAGATAAGAAATTAAATTTTTTTATTTTGCAAAAGCTCACAGACAAATGGTTGCTTGATTCTCATGTGAGACTGGATGTTGTCTATTTTGAAAACTCTAAGACAATGGGGAATTTCAAAGTCTGATGAACTTCATTTTGTGACCAGGAGCAAAATGTTATGTTTTGGGGTATTATTATTATTATTTTATTACTTAAAATATACCAATTCAAATTCCTACTCCCTCCTCTCCTCCTACTCCTATTCACCTTTCACTCCTTCCACACACTCTCATGTCCCAACTCCAAAGACTAAGAGATAGTTCTAGAGTTACAGGTAGAACTGGGTATTGCTGCATCTGGATGCCAAAGTTTGCAGGAAAAATAAGTCCTCTGTACATGAGCACAAGGGGTCACTGAGCCCCTAGACTTTACTGAGACTGGAGGGAAAACATTTGAAGCTTTTAAAATGGTTCTGACTTAAGCTCCACCCTAGCGCTTGCAGATGCCTCAAATCCCTTTTATCTGTTTGTCCATGAAACAATAGACACCACAAAAGGGGTTTTAATCAAAACTTTGGGGCCATGGAAATGCCCTGTGGCACACCTGTCTAAATGATTTAGACACTGTCACCAGAGGATGGCCCACCTGTCTAAGAACTGTGGCAGCTATGGCTAGTCTAATAAGTAGAAACAAACAAACCAACAACTGCAAAAACAACAACAATAGAAAACAAGTTAATTTTGTCTCTGGATCTTGCTCTTATATACATGACACTCTATGACACAGTTGAGACCCTTCTCCAAGGAATCCATGAATTCTGTTTGTCTACTGCCTTTGTAAGCCAGTCTGAGGTCAACACCTGGACCATTCTCATTCTGATTTGGGAAAACCACCACCATTAGACCTTCTACCCTCTTGACTGATGCCAACTTGCAGGTGCTCATATGTGACTTTCACAAGATGATAGATGAAACCAGGTTTGTGGGAGCTGTAATAGTCACTTCAACCAAAATCATTTGTGTAAAAGTCAGGTTCCACATCCTAAAGCTTAGTAATGATCTGTCTGATCCAGGCTCTCAGATGAAGAAAAAGAAATTCCACCATGGTACATGCATAAAACCAGTATTCTTTTACTACCATGCATATACAATGTATGATTGATAAACAAAGAGGGCTTCTCACTAATGGTGGGAAGGACATTCAGAACAAAAAGATAATCTGATCTCTTCCAGAGGCTTTTTAGATTCCCCTAAGTATTGTTCTCCTTCACTGCCAAGGAGATCAAAAAGAGAGTCTCCTGAGGCAAGAAGTTACTGAGCTACTAGCCTGGCTGCCTGGCAAATGGCCCTGAGACCAGTGGGACCTATTGATATTCTGAGGACATACCCTGAACTACCATTGCCTGAGAGAGACTCTGTGGTACAACCAAGAAGATAAAGAGGATAAAAATGGAAAAAATGAAAAACTAAAGTCCACAGGTTAGTTCATAGGGAAATCTCATTTTCCCAGAAACAATTTTCAAAACTCTGAGAATTGATGTTTGCCAGGCTTCTCATCTGGGATGTACAAAGCTTTCTGAGTTGTTCAGACCAAAGTATGTTGAATCTACACACTCAACATCTTGGCTCAAGATGTCTTAGCCGGAAGCCAGGTTTGTGTTCACATAAACATAAAACTGAGAACTCTTTCCCAGGATGAGAGCTCAATGAGAACTGTGAAATAATTATTAAAACAAAGAGAAAGATATTGAGTCAAAGACTCATCATTTTCAAAAAATAGACTTTGAAATTATTATATAATTCTTCCTTATCTAAGCTTTTCCAACTAACCCCAAATCTGAAAATTATCACATATATTTTATATTACATGGAAAAGTTTTTAAACAAAAATTTCTTTGAAATCTCTTTGAACCAAAACTAAAGCTTCTGGTTGGGAAGTGCTGGCAAACCAAACCACTAACACAACCTACGGAAACCTTTGCATCACTTCCATGGTTTCAGTTTCTAGTACTTCAGCCTACTACAAAGGTCACAGGGATTTTCAACATTTTCTCAGTAGGGGTAATTCAGAAAGCCTCACAAGATAGCTGGAGGATATAAAAGACAAGTGGCAGAGGCTGTTCACCTGCGCTGAGCAGCAAGAACAGGTAAGAAGGGGCACTTGCTCTTGCTAGGTCTAGGGAGCTCTGATCTGAAACATGGGGCCATCAGCCTGATCTGGGATGACATGGAATTTATATGGTTTAATTAATTTTCTTTATAACTACTGCAATTAGAAACAGCTGTTTTTGGACATGGGCTGTGGCTTAGCAGCAGTGTTATGTTAATTGTCACTTTAAGAGACAAGCCACACCCACTCCCAGGACCCCTGCCCTCCTCTCGCCATCTTGATTCTCACTGTTCCCTTTTGGCATGCACGCTCCCTCTCTCCCATTCCCCTTTTCTCTGTTTCTCTCTTCCTTTCCTCCTTCCCCCCAGCTCCTCTAAGTAATAAATATCCAATTCTATTCTGTACAATGTGTCCGTCCATGTACATTCTACCCATCACCTGCTCACACCCCCGGGCTCACTAGGACCAGTCTGCCCAGGACCAGGCCCTACTTGGGGAACTGGCAGCCATCTCTGCCAGGGACTAGCTGTTCTGTGGGCCCGCTGTCTACTGCTGCTGGGGATCTTGCAGCATTTTTAACAAGCTGTTGAACCCTGGGTGATATTATTATGGCAGCCAGTCTCTGAGGGCTACTACTTGGTTTTATTGAGTTAGGGACCAGCAGATATGAGGCTTGACCAGGGGTTAGAAATGCACTGGAACTGTCTTTCTCTGTGCTCATTCTGTCTCTGCTGATGGCACAGTTCAACAACTATGTTCAGTGATGGAACACAGCTAACTTCTTCCCACTCCTACATAAAAGGCTGTGTGTTACTGATTTTCATGAGGGGAAACAGAATGAGATGTGGGGTGAACAGCCACTGCCTGGGTGAAGAACAAATAGAGGAATTGTGTTGATGTAAGAATATCTCAAGGGAATAAGATATATGGTCTATCTGAGAGTGGAATGACTGATGGGCCAGCAGCACAAGCTCAATTTACCACACACGCTTTGTTCCAGCTTGGCAGGTTTCTTAAAGTTTCTCTAGTAAGATAATGAAGAATGTCATAGATCAAGGCACTTTTAAAATACATTGGTGGCAATACGAAATAGGTAGATTATGGCAAATGGGGAGTTTGCTACAGGCCTTCTGATGTAACAAATGGCTATGGAAGCAGCTAAAGATAACCCAGGAAAATATGTCCCTAGACTTTACAACATTCCAGCTCCCCACCATAACATGAATTCTAGTCAATCATTCAGTCAGTCAGTCAGCATTCTAAGTTCACTGACACAGTTATGGCTGATTTCTGGGAGCCAGCTAGACCCCAGAGTGACAGATGAAGGATGGGCTGTGACAATGACACATCTAATCTTTGCTGAAGTGAACCTCCTTCAGTAGGAAGACTGGCTCTTTCCTTGTATCCATGAATCTGCCGTATATATTTCCTTGTATCTGCCCCTACACTGTAGTGAAGGGCTTTCTTAGAAGAATCCTGGGCACAAAAGTCTAAGAAGAAAGTCTATTTACCTTGTCTCCAACTCTGCGACCTCAAGCTGTTGTCCCTTCCTCCTGGAGACCAGAACCCCAGCCAGGCACCTTTCTTATTAATCACATTCTTTCTGACAGCTTTGCTCTGCCTGGTCAACTCCTAGTCTCTAATTCTCAGTGCTTTTCTTCCTCCTTTTTGCTTTCCCCTTTCTCTGTCAAATGAGAACTACACAAAAAACAAAGGAGAGTGCCAGGAAGTAATTCTTTGAACCAATTCCTGTCTAGTGGTCTTGACGAGTTCCCTGATTTCTTGTTATTTACATTACAGTTGCTTTCTACAATATCCTGTATTTGTATTGTTGCTCTCAAACCGTCTCTGCATTTATGTTCATTTGTTGTGTAGCTGTTTTTCAGTTCTTTTCTCTTTTGCAAAATGTCCTTGGAAAAGTCATTGTCACATATTTTAATAAATTTTGAAAATAACTAAAAACAAAGAAACACCCAAAATAAATGAACAACCTTATGTAGCTTCATGTTGGTTATGTAATTTATTCTGTGGGTAGAGACTCATGCCCACAAAATGAGTATAACTATTAGGACAGGTAGAACTAATATATTTTATGATCTCCAGAAATTATCATAAAGATATGCATAAAACAATGAAGTATCAATTCCTGGGTTTCTTTATCAATTATAATGATAAACAAATGAATATTTAATTGGTTATATGCAGCTGCAATATAAAATCATTTTGCTGAACCTGCTCTGTTTTCCATTTGATGTCTAGTTTAAAACCCTTAATAAGGAAAAGTTTTCTATGCAAAATTAATTGGAATATTTGTGTTGTGAACATCAGAATGTTGTTTCTGTTAAATTATAAATGAAATCTTTAATAATATTCTATAGAATTCTAAAATTATGTAGGTTCTCCTTCATCTATGTCTCTGATACACGCAACATTGTTGTATTATTTAAAGGATGTCATAACTCTACCTTCTGAGTTAAAAGGGCTGATACTAGTTAATTTTATTTTTCCCTCTAGGAAAAGCAAGCACAATGACTTCAGAAGTTTATATGCCAAGCCCTGTGTGCCTCGTTGAGAACTTAAATGGGAAGCTGAAGGCTAACCAGGAAGCTCTAGGGATCCTGTCTAACATAGAACAGCCTCTGGTAGTGGTAGCCATTGTGGGCTTCTACTGCACAGGCAAATCCTACTTGATGAACAAGCTGGCTGGGAAGAAATCAGGTGAGGGCCACCAACAGAGCTGCGCTGGGTCCCAAGAGTGCACTCACATTGTTTACTTCCTGCAAGACAGGGTGAAGAATTTAATCTTCCAGTTGCAGTTGGCTATTGGGTTCCTTTTTGTTGTTGTTGCTCTGTGTCTTTGCTTCTGTTTTTGAGACAAGGTCATGGTATATAGTCCACACAGGTCTTTGATTCAGTATGTAGTCAAGGCTGATCTTGAACTCATGATTATCTTGCCTTGGTCTCCCGAGAGTTGATTAGAGTCCTGCATCATCACATCTATTTCCTAGTTTACCTTCCAAAACCACAATTGTTTTATTTACTAGATGGAGAAAGGCAGTAATAAAGATCATTTACATGTTAATTAGCTTTAGGTTTTTGATATATGTTCCTGTACAACAGCCAGTTTCTAGTGGTATTTAAGGTTAAAAAAGTCTATCTTTAGCTTATGAACTGATTTTTTATTATTGTAAATTATATAACATTTATCTTTATGCTTGCTTTTATGTATCTAATTCTGTGGCATTAAAGAAATTTATACATCTGTGTCTCCACCATTCATCTCTAGAAATAGCTTTTTCCCCAGCCCATACAACTATTCTATATGCTGTATCTACAAATATTACTGTCCTAGAAATATCATGTGAGTGAGTTTGACACAATATGTATTTTTTGTAACTTGTTCTTTCTCTTAGCATGATACATTCAAAGTTTGTCACTGTGAGAATGTGAGCCAAAGTTTTTTTTTTTCCCTTTGAGGTTCAGTTATAAAGTGTGTTTACCATTGCCTTATCTATTCCCCTGTAGAGAAAACAGCTGGGTACTCTGAATGATCCTGACAAGAAGATGGCTAGAGAGACAACTGTCTGAGGTCAGGTTTTCAGATTTTCTAGGTTGTATCAGTCTCATCACTGATCAAATGACTGACAGCAGCAATGTAAGGAAAGAGGATTTAATTTGCTCATAGTTAAGGGGATATCAGACAACTATGGTAGGGGAGACAGGATTTATGTATAGTGGATGGACTTTATTTATGTATAGTGGCTTATTCATTCGCTGATCACAGCGCCACAAGCAAATCCAGCTTTATAACATTTAAAGGCCTACTTTTTCTCAGCTACGACCTACATCCTAATGCTTCCACATGTCCCAAGAAACTAACTGTGAATTAAGTATTCAAACACATGAACCTGTGAAGAACATTTTACATTCAAAACATGGCATTTTGCTCCTGGTTAAAATAATGTAGTTCATCTGACTTTAAAAGTCCCCATTGTCTTAGAGTTTTCAAAATGGACAATGACATCAAGTCTCATATGAGACTCAAACAACCATTTGTCTGTGAGCTTTTGCAAAATAAAATTTTTAATTACTTATCTGTACTATACAATGATACAGAATAAATTATCCAATTTCCAGTGTTTAGGGGAAGAGAAAGGAAAGAGCATACCATAGCAAGACTGAACCCCAGCAGGGCTAACAACAACTGTAGTATCATATGCAGTATGCAGGTCATGTGGTGGACGTTTCTAGACAACAGCCAGTTGTGGATCCTGCTTCAAGGTTCCTGCTGTCACAGCTTCACAAACAGCAAGTTCAGAAGATGCACATGAGAGACTGACCCTGCTACACATTTTCTGAGGAAGCTTCATGCAAGCCAAGAGGACTTGGGACTATGTATCTGAAAATCTAATTTCTGCTATGTCTCTGATTTTATGATAAGTACTAGCTTAGGGTTCAATTAATTCTCCCAACCTTCATTGCGCTGTTTATTCAAAAAAGATTTATTTATTTTAATTTTTAGATATATGAATATGTATATGTATGAGTATTTTGTCTGTGTGTCATGAGCATGGCTGGCATTCACAGATGTTAGAAGGGAACATAAGCTTTATTGAAACTGGAGTTATAGGTAGTTGTGACCTGCCATGTAGATGCTGAGAACTGAACTCTGCCCTGTGCAAGAGAAGAAGACACACCTAACCACTGAGTTATCTTTCCAGCTTGATTATGCTAATTTTATTATCACTTCCTTGAAGCACTTGTTTCCATAAGTCTAATCTTTCTTTCCCTTTCTTCTGATTTTCAGGCTTCTCCCTGGGTTCCACAGTGCAGTCTCATACCAGAGGGAACTGGATGTGGTGTGTGCCTCATCCCCAGAAGGAAGGCTCCACTCTAGTTCTGCTTGACACTGAGGGTCTTGGAGATGTTGAGAAAGTAAGGATTGAGGGCTTGGTGTTCAGTTCATCCCTCATGTCTGAATATTCTACAGTGCTGGCTATGTTGCATTAAAAACTTTATTTACTTATTTTGTACGTGTGTGTGTGTGTGTGTGAGAGAGAGAGAGAGAGAGAGAGAGAGAGAGAGAGAGAGAGAGAGAGAGAGAGAGCGCGCATTGGTCTGCATGTGTGTTGCATGTGTCATGGTTCATGTGCTACAATGCACATGTGGAGATTATAGAATAAGATGTAGGGTCAGTTCTCTTTTCCACCTTGAGATTTCTGAGGTTTGAACTCAGACTCTAAGACTGGGCAGAAAGCTTCCTTCTCACTGTTTCCTTAATTTTTGAAGAAGTGTTTGAACTTCATCATTTTCTTTTTAATTTACATGACATATAGTTATATTCAGCCAACAAAGATGAAGGAAATAGTACAATGTGGGTCTAACAAAAGGAGTGTGGTAGTTTGTAGTATTAAAACACTAAACATGGGCAAAGCAGGACTAGTGAGAGTCCTTGTAAAAGAATCACAAATCAAGATTCATCCTTTAATGCTGTGGATGGTGTCTGTAGATTTATTGCTGTTTCTCTTGCTTGGTTTTGTGCCTTGCATAGGTCACAAAGGGTTTAATGATTTTAAGACTGAATATATTTTAGCAGTTTTGATCTGGAATGTGACATAAGAACAAAGCATAATTCTTACCCATGGTTGTTCTGACTTCCAGGGTGACAACCAGAATGACTGCTGGATCTTTGCCCTGGCTGTACTTCTAAGCAGCACCTTTGTGTACAACAGCATGGGAGCCATCAACCAGCAGGCCCTGGACCAGCTGCAGTATCCTTTCTGAGGATCAGAACAGCACCAGAACAAGTGGGGTGACCTAGCCTCCTAAACCAGCTCCATGACTCTGGTTCTTGGTTAATGAAGCACAAAACATAAAAATATGTCACATATATGTAGCTACAGTGTTGACTCCAAGGTTAGGAACAAAGGAAATGAAGGACTACTACAGGATGGTGAACCTGGAGCTGTGGTTGGTCGTCTGGTTGTTTCCGGGTTTTCCTTATTTATCTGTTCAGGTATGTGACAGAGCTGACAGACAGAATCAGAACAAGATCCTCATCTGACCAGGATGAAGTGGAGGACTCAGATGAGTTTGTGAGCTTCTTCCCAGACTTTGTGTGGACTCTGAGGGACTTCACTCTTGAGCTGAAAGCAAATGGGCATCCCATCTCCCCAGATGAATACCTAGAAAATTCCTTGAGGCCCATATATGGTGAGAGACTTACAACTGCTAAATGAGTATGTCCATTAAACACATATAATTCAGATTTTCTGTCTATAATTTTCTTGCACCTGCAGTATCTATTTCTTCTTGCTAATAATTCCTAAGAACAAATATTTAATATATGATTTAATGATTGATTCATACATTCTCTCTTTTGTACTAGGAACAAATTTATTTGTTTGTTACCTTTTCCCTTATGGTGATTAATTTGTTCTCTCTACTTCAGGCCTGTTTTTGTATTGAAACAGAGAATATGGTACATACAAAGATTTATTTGAAAAAGCTAGAGTAAGTGTTATCAGCATCCTATTTGAACTGTTGAAACAGTGTTGGCCCCAAGAAGCTGGTGTGCTGCCAGGTGTCTTTGAAATGAAATGATGCTGTATTCGAGGGCTTATATATTGTCTTTACACACAATTCAGTTACACTAAGTGGCTTGAATACTGAGAATGAAGCCTCCTTTCCTGAGAAGCCTAACAGAGCATTCAGCTGTTCCTAGACTGAAAATCCTTAAGGCAAACATCACTGCTACTTTTCTATTTTTCTTTTTCTCTTTCTTTCTTTTTGTTTTATATTTTGTGTTTCCAGGGTCTCTCTGTCTGACCCAGGCTGGCTTTAATATAGAATCCTCCTGCCTAAGCTTACAACATGCTAGAATTACAAAAGATCACATAACCAAATTTAAAATTCTACACTTCCTCTCAATATCAGACTGAAAAATCCTGTTTTTACTCCATCTAGGTACTGGCCAAAATAATAAAGAAACAGAATTAAATTTGCCTCGGTTCTGTATCCAAAAGTTCTTCCCAAAGAAGAAATGTTTTGTGTTTGAACGGCCAGTAAGTGGGAAACAGATTAGCCACTTGGAATCGCTGCAGGATCAAGACCTAAAGTCAGACTTCGTTCAACAAGTGGCAGAGTTCTGTTCCTATGTGTTCAAGTGTTCAAAGGTTAAAACGCTTTCAGGAGGCATAAGGGTCAATGGACCACATGAGTGTGTTCCCAGTCCTTCTGCTCACTGTGTAGGCCACAGTATCATAAGATAGCAATGACCTAATTCAGCTTTGAAGAAATGTAAACCTATCTGGACTGCAGTACTATGCTGTACATGATACAAGCATTTATTATAGATTTTGTCTATCAGATTTTCCTCTTAGATAAAAAGAAAAGGGGCAAAAGAAAAAACATTTTAAATTACCCTAGATAACTGAACCTGCATTCAACAGACAGAGAATAAACAAATATGGCTCTTTTTAATTGTTTTATATTTATTTTTATGTTTTTCAAACTATCTTTTTTTCATTTTACATACCAATCCCAGTTCCCACTCCCTCCCCTCCTCCTATTCCCCCCACCTACCTCCCTACCCCACCTCATCTACTCCTCAGAGAGGGTAAGGCACATTGCTTTGGGGAAAGTTCAAGGCCTTCCCTAATATATCTAAGCTGAGCAAGGTATCCAAAGAAATATGTTCCCAAAAAGCTAGTGCAAGCAGTAGGGATAAATCCTGGTGCAAATTCCAGTGGTCCCTCAGTCTGCCTCAGCTGTGCAATTGTCAGCCACATTCAGAGGGACTAGTTTCCTCCTATGCTTGTTCCTTTTCAGTTTGGTTGCTGGTGGTGAGCTCCCATTGGCTCGGTTAGACTGTTTCAGTGGTGTCCACATCATGGTTTTTGTAGGGTTAAGACAGCCCCTTTAGGAGAAATGGAGAAAACCGGCCATTAGGGCTATGCAAGAACAAGCAATTGATGTCCCTTCAGAGATACCAACAGCCTTGCCTCTAAAATGGTTGACTGAGAAACCAATATGGACAAAGCAATGGCCTTTAGCTGAGGAAAAGTTACAGGCATTAGAACAGCTGGTACAAGAACAATTAGATGCTGGACATATAGAAGAATCTACCAGCCCTTGGAATTCTCCTGTATTTGTGGTTAAGAAAAAATCAGGTAAATGAAAAATGATGACAGATCTCAGGGCCATCAACAAGGTTATTCAACCTATGGGCCCTCTACAATCTGGAATTCCTTTGCCCTCATTATTACCAAAAGGATGGCCTCTCATAGTTATTGATTTAACGGATTGTTTTTTCACTATACCTTTGCAAAAAGAAGATAGAAAAAAATTTGCCTTCACAGTGCCTACTTATAACAAATCTCAACCTTCGAGGAGGTACCATTGGTCTGTCCTCCCCCAGGGTATGTGCCAATATTTTGTGAACCAACCATTGCAAATAATACGCAAGAAATTTCCCAAATATATAGTATACCATTACATGGACGACATATTGTTATCTGTTTCAAACATAGATACCTTGAACAGATGCACATTTTTGAAAACGCTCTGGCCGGACCTTCTCAAAACGCTCAGAGAGTAGTTATAATTTTCTTAAGTCAAAGGTTAATTTGGAAATTTTACCATCATTTGCTTTCACAGGGGCCCCTAAGAAGAACGTTGCCCCCATGTCAGCTAGAAGCAATCTAAGAGGACGATGTCCCCTCTCCCAACAGAATTTGCCCACAGGGTTAGGGACATCTTTTATTGGTTGGTTTAAGGTTGAAGGGATGGGGAGATATTGTATGGAATTAGGGGTATATACAAAAAAGGGAGGATTAACTGGTTTGATGGGATGATTGGTATTTGTGACTTACTGCTTTTATAAAATTATATTGGTACTGTTTCTTGTATATTGATATATTGAATATTGAATGTGAGTGTTCCTACCTCTATTTTTGTATAAGAGTATGCTTATATTGTATGGATACATCTATCATATCACAATGTACATTTCTACCTCTGGTACTATTTATGTAATAACATTGTTTACATTTTGATATGTAATGACATTGTTTATAGGTTAAGATCACTGTCATCATATATTGCACAGTTGTTTATTCTCTTAGTTTTCAAATTAGATAGGTATTGAGAATTATATGTTTGTCATATTTATTTTTAGGTTAATCAGGTCTTTTAGATACATAGAGATTATTTTTAATATAGATAGTATAATCTTCAGCCTCTTTGAAGAGCTGTAGAAAATGGCCTTTAATCTAACCTAGAATTCTGTGCCAACGAGACACAATTACTCCTGGCAACACTACTCTACTCCCGAGAGAACGTTGAGCACCAAAGACACTCCACTGGGAGCTTGTCTTCTTGACAGAACTGGCCTTTGGGTTAAGAAAAACCCATACCTCAACTACTGACTAAGATATAAAACAGGATTGTCTTATCTTGCCAAGACAGGGTAGGATAATTCTAAGAAAGTTCCTTATATTTGATAATGGTATGTCAGTTATGTTAGGCCTTAGCCAAAGTGGGTTGACTCAACATTACAAACAAGACTTTGGGTGATTGCCCAGGTAGTCAGTTGTCTCTGTCATTTGTTGCACATTTTGGATATCTCTCATTTGTTAAGTAATATTTATTCCCTTCTCAGATCTTTGATGGAGTTAAAGATTATTTAATAATAGTTACTCTCTACATTATTTAGACTCCTTGAGATAGAATGCTTAACAAAACTTTTGTTCTCAATATTGTTTGTTATATTTATCATTTGTTATTATTATTTATAGTTATATTTGGTTTAGTTCTGTCTTATTTAGACAAAAGGGGGAGATGTAGGGTTAAGACAGCCCCTTTAGGGGGCGGGGTTTGCCTCGGGCGAATGCCTACAGATAAATGGGCGCACAGGAGGTGGTTCCACCCTTTTCTCCCTACCTCCTGTGCCACGCGGGAACTTCGGTTCTGTAAGTTTATCATTAAAGTGGTAAATATTCTTTAATATCTGCATTGCATTTATTTACGCCGATACAGGTCTTGATCCCTTTGCTCAATTCTCACTCCTCCCACTCATCAACTGAACTTGTGGAGTTCAGTCTAGTGCTCCCATGCAGGTGTCTGCCTCTGGTTCCATCAGTTGCTGGATGAAGGTTCTTTGGTGATATTTAAGATATTCTTCAGCCTGGCTACAGGGCAAGGCCAGTTCAGGCACCCTCTCCTCTATTGCTTAGGGTCTTAGCTGGGGTCATATTTGTGGATTCCTGAAAATTTCTTTATAGCTTGATTTTTTACTAACCCCATAATGGCCTTGTCAATCAAAATATCTCTTTCCTTGCTCTCATTTCACCCATCCCTCCATCTCAACTATCTCATTCCCTCAAGTTCTCCTTGCCCCTCCCTGTATCCCCTCCTCTTCCTATTTTACCTTCTCTTCTCCTCCACCCCTATGCTCCCAAATATGTCAAATGTTCTTTTCTATTTTGACTTTCCAGGTGGATGTATATATGTTTTCCTTAGGGTTCACCTTGTTACCTTGCATCTCTAGGATCATGAACTATAGGCTCAATATCCTTTGTTTATAACTAGTATCCACTTATGAGTGAGTCCATACCATATTCATCTATCTGGGTCTGGTTACCTCTCTCAGGATGGTGTTTTCTAGTTCCATCATTTGCATGTAAAATTTAATATGTGATTGTTTTTTTTTAATCACTGAGTGTAATACGAACAGGGCCTGCTTGTTGTTGGGGTTTTTGTCCTTCCCAGTACCCCACAACTGTTTAGCCACAAAGAAAATCACACATAGGTCTCCATAAATTATAAGCTGATTGACCCATTAGTTCTAGCCTCTCACTAACTAACTCTTACATCTTGATTGACCAATTTTTTTTTATCTATGTTAGCCATGTGGCTCAGTACCTTTTTCAGTGGTTGTAGATCACATCCTGCTGTTTCGGTGGTCTGGGCAAGAATGGGAGGAATCAACTTCCTCTTTCCCAGAATTCTCCTGTTCTCATTACATCATTTCTACTTCCTGTCTGGTTTTCTGCCTATACTTTCTGCCTGTCCAATCAGTATTTATTTAAAACATGATTGATAGATTACAGATAATTCTCCCGCACCAACTGAGTAGTACTCTAATGTATAAATGTGCCACATATGCTTTATGCATTCTTCTGATGAAAGGAGTCTAGGTTATTTCAAAGTTCTGGCTATTACAAATAATGCTGCTATGAACATAGTTGAATATATATCTTTGTAGTTTGATTGAACATCTTTTGCGCATATACCCAAGAGTAGTATAGTTGGATCCTGAGGTAGGTTGATTGCCAATTTTCTGATAAACAGCCATACTGATTTCCAAAGTGATTATACAAGTTTGCATTCCCATTGGCAATGAATGAGTTTCCCCCTTACTCACATCCTCTATAGCATAAGCTATCACTGTTGTTTTTGATTTAGCCATTCTGACAGGTGTAAGATTATATCTCAGAGTTGTTTTGATTTGCATTTTCCTGTTGGATAAGGTTGATGAACATATCCTCAAGTGTCTGTCGGCCATTTGACATACGCCTGGTGAGAATTCTCTGCTTAGTTCTGTATTCCATTTTTAAAATTGGGTTATTTGGAATTTTGGTGTCTAATTTCTTGAATTTTTTATATACACTGGAGATCAGACCTTTGTCTGATGTGGGGTTGGTGAAGATCTTTTTCCATTCATTTGGCTGCCTTTTTTGTCTTATTGACTCTGTCCTTTGCTGTACAGATGATTCTCAGTTTCAGGAGATCCTATTTATTTATTGTGGCTCTCAGTGTCTGTGTTACTGGGGTAATATTTAGGAACTGGTCTCCTGTGCCCATGCATTGAAGGTTTATCACTTTCTCTTCTATCAGGTTCAATGTGGTTGGATTTATATTGTGGTCTTTTATCCATTTGGACTTGAGTTTTATGAAGGGGAATAGATAAGGATATGTTTCATTCTTCTACATGTTGACATCCAGTTATCTCAGCACCATTTTTTGAAGATGCTTTATTCCTTTGTATCATTTTAGTTTCTTTGTCAAAAATCAGGTGCTCATCCCAAGGTCCCAAGGAGGAGCAGAAGGAGGGAGAACATGAGCAAAGAAGTCGGGACCTCGAGGCATGCACTCACCCACTGAGACAGTGGAGCTGATCTACTGGGAGCTCACCAAGGCCAGCTGGACTGTGACCGAAAAAGCATGGGATAAAACTGGACTCTCTGAACATGGCGAACAATGAGGGCTGATGAGACACCAAGGACAATGGCATGGGGTTTTGATCCTACTTAATGTGCTGGCTTTGTGGAAGCCTAGCCAGTTTGGATGTTCACCTTCCTAGATATGGACGGAGGGGGGAGGACCTAGGACTTACCACAGGGCAGGGAACCCGGACTGCTCTGTGGACTGGAGAGGGAGGGGGAGAGGAGTGGGGGGAGGGGGAGAAGGGTGGGAGGAGGGGGAGAAGGGTGGGAGGAGGGGGAGGGAAATGGGAGGCTGGGAGGAGGTGGAAACTTGTTTTTTGTTTATGTTTTTTTTTCTTCTTTTCTTAATAAAAAAAATTAAAAAAAAATCAGGTGCTCATAGGTGTATGGATTGATATCTGAATCTTTGATTTGATTCCATTGGTCAGCCTCTCTGTTTTAATGCCAGTACCAAGGTGTTTTCATTATTGTAGCTCTCTAATAGAGCTTGATGCCACAGTTGATGATGCCTCCAGAAGTTCCTTTATTGTACATGATTATTTTAGCTATTCTGGGTTTTTGGTTTTTTCATATAAAGTTGATTATCATTTTTTCAAGGTCTGTGAAGAATTCTGTTGGGATTTTGAAGGGGATTGCATTGAATCTATAGTTTGATTTTGGTATGCTTGTCATTTTTAATATGTTGATTCTCCCTATCCAGAACATGGGAGGTCTTTCCATTTTCTGATATTTCTTCAACTTCTCTCTTTAAAGTCTTAAAGTTCTTGCCAAATAGGCCTTTCACTTCTTTGATTAATGTTACTTCAAGATATTTTATGTTATTTGTGGCTATTGTGAAAGGTGATGTTTCTCTGATTTCTTTCTTAGCCCCTTTATCGTTTGTAGATAGGAGTGCTATTGATTTTTTTGTGTTGATCTTGTATCCTGCTAAATTACTGAAGGTTTTCATCAGCTGTAGGAATTCGCTGGTAGTTTTGGGGGTCACTTATATATACTATCATATCGTCTGCAAATAACAAAAGCTTGACTTCTTCCTTTCCAATTTGAATCCCCTTCATCTCCTTTTGTTGTCTTTTTGTTATAGCCAGAACTTCAAGAACTATGTTGAAGAAACATGGAGTGGAGGGCCTTGTCTTATTCCTGATTTTGGTGGAATTGCTTTGAGTTTCTCTCAATTTAATTTGATGTTGAATGAAAGATTGCAGTGTGTTGCTTTTATTATATTTAGATATGTTCCTTGTATCCCTGATCTCTCCAAGACTTTTATCTTGAAGGGGTGTTGGATTTTGTCAAATGTGTTTTCAGCATCTAATGAGCTGATCATGGGGTTTTTTTCCTTTTAGTTTATTTATATGATGGATTGCATTGACATATTTTTGTATATTAAACCATCCCTGCATCTCTAGGATAAAACTGACTTGATCATAATGGATAATTTTTTGATGTGTTCTTGAATTTGGTTTGCCAGTGTTTTATTGATTATTTTTGCATTTATGTTCATGAGTGAGATTGGTCTGTAATTTTCTTTTTTGGTTAAATCTTTGTGTGGTTTTGGTATCAGGGTAACTGTAGTCTCATAAAAATAGTTCAGCAATGTTTCTTCTGTTTCTATTATGTTGAACACTTTGAGGAGTATAAGTTTTAGATCTCCTTGGAAGTTCTGGTAGAATTCTGCACTAAAACCATCCATCCCTGGTATTTTTTCGGTTGGGAGGCTTTTGATGACAGCTTCTGTTTCCTTAAAGGTTAGAGGTCTATTTAAATTGTTCACCTGGTCTTGATTTAATTTTGGTATAGGGTATCTATCCAGAAAATTGTCCATTTCTTTTATGTTTTCCAATTTTGTGGAGTACAGGTTTTTGTAATATGACCTAATTATTCTCTGCATTTCCTCAGTGTCTGTTGTTCTGTCCCCCTTTTCATTTTTGATTTTGTTAATTTAGATGTTTTCTCTCTGCCTTTTGATTAGTTTGGATAAGGGTTCATCTATTTGGTTGATTTTTTCAAAGAACCCGCTCTTTGTCTCATTGATTCTTTTTTTTTTTTTTTTTTTTTTTTTGAATTTTTGAGAGAGGGTTTCTCCATAGCTTTGGGTTCCTGTCCTGGAACTAGCTCTTGTAGACCAGTCTGGCCTCGAACTCACAGAGATCCGCCTGCCTCTGCCTCCCCAGTGCTGGGATTAAAGGCGTGTGCCACCACCGCCCGGCTTCATTGATTCTTTGTATTGTTTTCATCGTTTCTATTTTATTTATTTCAGCCCTCAATTTGATTATTTCCTGTCTTCTACTCCTCCTGGAGGAGTCTTCTTCTTTTTGTTCTAGAGATTTCAGGTATGTTGTTAAGTTACTAGTGTGAGATTTCTCCATTTTCTTTATGAGGTAATGCCTGTCTTTGAGGTTGAGGTTTGTTTCTTGTATACAGCAGGAGGCTGGATCTTTTTTTATATCCATTCTCTTAGCCTGTGTCTTTTTATAGGTGAATTGAGTCCATTGATAATAAGAGATATTGATGACCAGTGGCTGCTAATTTCTGATATTTTTCTGTGCTTCCCAGTTATCTGTTTCTTTTTTGTGTGTGTGTGGGTGTAGTTAGCTTTCTTGGGTTGGGGGTTTCCTTCTACTACTTTTTGTAGGGCCATGTTTGTGGATATGTATTGTTTAATTCTGGTTTTCTCCATCGATGGTGAAAGAAAGTTTTCCTGGTTATAGTAGTCTTGGCCCACATCTGTGGTTTCCTAGTGTCTGCATACTTGTCCAGGACCTTCTGGCCTTCATGGTTTCTACTGCGATTTCGGGTGTAATTATGATAGGTCTACCTTTATATGTTACTTGACCTTTTCCCTTTGCAGCCATTAGTATTCTTTCTTTATTCTATATCTTTTACATTTTGATTATTATATGGTGAGGGAATTTTTTTGATCCAGTCTATTTGGCCATTCTCTTTGGTGTTCTGTAAGTTTCTTGTACCTTCATAGGGATAGTCTCCTTAAGGTTAGAAAAGGTTTCTTCTTTTTGTATTTTGTTGAATATATTTTATGTGCCTGTGAGTTAGAGTGCTTCTCCTTCTTCTATCCCTATTATTCTTAGGTTTGGTCTTTTCATGGTGTCCCAGATCTCCTGGATTTTTTTGTGTTAGCCTTTTTTTGGATTTAATGTTTTCTTTGACCAATGAATCAATTTTTCTATAGTATCTTCAACACATGAGATTCTCTCCCATCTTTGTACTCTGTTGGTTATAGTTGCCGCTGTAATTCCTGTTCCTTTACCCAGATTTTTCATATCCAGAAGTCTATTGGTTTGTGTTTTTTTTTATTGTCTCTATTCAGTATTCATGTTCTGAACTTTTTGCTTCACCTCTTTGATTGTTTTTCTTGGTTTTCTTGGGTTTCTTTGAGGGATTTTAATTTCTTCCATGTTTCTGTCTTTTTCTCCATTTATTTAAGGGAAGTTTTCATTCCCTCTGTAAAGTCTCCATCATCAAAATACAGTTACATTTAAAATCATATTCTTCTGTTTCTTCTAGTTTAGAATAACCAAGTCTTCCTGTTGTGTGACCATTAGCTTCTATTGTTACCATGTTGCTTTTTAGGTTGTTGGATAAACTCTTAAATTGGTTCCTACCTATCTCTTTCTTCAGCTGATGCTCCAGTCTCTTTGCTTCTTGGTCAAATATTTGCAGTGGCTTTCTGACTCTTTAGGAATTGGTTTTGGTCTGCTCTGTAAGGTCAATGTCTGTGTCTCAGGGAGCCACTGTGAGGTCTCTCTTAGCCGGTTCTCTTCATCTTCTCTCCTGGTTCACTCTCTTTGTTCACTCTGTGCATCCACAGCTTGTGCTTTAGACTTTCTCTATTGGCACTCTCTTTTGGCCCTCCTTGCATTGTAGCAAGCTGTGTTTCAGAGTTCCACTGAGGTTGCAGCCGGTTAGGCAAGTTTGGGGGCAGCTATTAACTTGCAGGGTAGGGTGGATGGGAGTGGCTATTGGAGCAGCTTCCTGCAGGTAACTCCCCTGCTGGTTGGCTAGAGAAGCCAAGGCAGTTGGGGGAGGCGTCAGGGGTTTTGTCTCACTGTGGTGGTCCTAGAGGGTGGACTGTCCTGTCAGGTGGCTGCTAACTCACCTCTTGGACCTCTGTTTATTGTAGCAAGCTGTGTTTCAGAGTTACACCATGGTTGCAGGAGGATATGCAAGTTTAGGGGTAGTATGGGGCTAGTAGCTTTCAGGGTCCCACAAGTATGGCGCTTATCATTGAAATGTAAGTTCAATAAAATCCACACAGAGCTAGTTATTGTCACATTATCATGTATGGAATGTTTATTTATATAATGAAAACGTTTATTCTAGTCAACTGGATGGAAAATTTCTGAATGGAAGGCAAGTTTAACTCATGAATTGGAATGAAATGCTTACTATGGACAGGGCTAATAACACAGCCAAACATGAAAAAGTTATGGAGCACTTTCTCATGGTGCTTGCATTAATATGGACACAAACATTGTACAGACAAGGAAAACATCTATTCTTCATCCAACATTCTTAGCCTTTGGGGTCCCACACACTTCATGAGATGGTCTTTGTACAGAGAAGTTCTAATCCCACCAGTGTTAGGTAGAGACTGAGATGAATATAAGGGCATTGTTGGTTTAAGGCATCAATGAGTGACATATCCATTATTATATGTCACTTGTATGTAATATTGTTGTCTTCATTCATCTGTACCAAATGTTGTCAACTGTTTCCTGGTTGTAGGACTAGAGAGTTTGGTGATAACCTATGTCAACGCCATCAGTAGTGGAAGTCAGTCCTGCATAGAGAATGCTGTCCTGGCTGTGTCCCAGACAGAGAATGCAGCTGCAGTACAAAAGGCCATTGCCCATTATGACCAGAAGATGAGTCAGAAGTTGCAGCTGCCCAGAGAGACCCTCCAGGAGCTGATTGACATGCACAGGGCCAGTGAGAAAGAAGCAATCAAGATTTTCATGAAAAATTCCTTCAAAGACATTAATCAAGTGTTCCGAACACAACTAGAGGTAATTTTTCTCTCAAGGTTACCTGGAAGTAGATGTTGGAAGGCAAAATGCCATGGGGAAATGAAATTGGACCTGGAGGAAGGCAACTGTTTCTAGATTTTAAAGTAGTAACAGCTACCTTTTAATAATCATGCAATAGAACAAAAGGGATTATCATAGACTCCTTTCCATATAAGCTAGTTACATTCCTCCTTCATTAAGTACAGAGAAGTAATTAGTGTGTCTAATCAAGCTGCATATCCAGTGTCAGTTGACTAATTCAATATTCAAACCAAAAGTGAAAAAAAACATAAACTATTAGAGGCAAATGAACATTGACTCATGTTTATTTCATGTAAAATCTCTGGCCCAGTCTAAAAAATGCAGTTTATCTCTAAAAGGGTAAATCTCTGCTCTGAACTCTACATCCAAGAAAAAAAATGATGCCAGTAAAAATCTGGCAAACTCGGGCTCTTTCTCTTCTTAATATTTTTTTTGTTGTTATTGTTCTTACATCAAAGACCAGTTTAGAAACAAAGCTAGAGGAATTCCTTAAGAAGAATGCACAGGCATCCTCAGATCGCTGCATAGCACTGCTTCAAGATATTTTCAGCCCACTAGAAGAAGATGTGACACAGGGAATTTATTCTAAACCAGGGGGATATCGTCTTTTTATCCAGAAGATACAGGAGTTGAAGAAAAAGTATTATGAAGAACCCAAGAAGGGGATTCAGGCAAGCAAGATTACATGTATGTTCTGGGAAGTTGCTCACCTCTTTGAGACTGTAGAGTGACCTCAAGCAGCATGGTGAGAAGGTCTGCATTCCAGGCATATGCTTCTTCAACATCATGTATATGAAGGTTATCACACTGGACATGTCCTGCCTACTCATCAGATACAATGTACTCAATGAACATTTGAGTTCACACTGAACAATCACATTAACCACCAGTATGACTATCACTTTGTGTTTCAGCTTGTCTCTTTGTCTTCCATAGGATAAAAAAAACAAAACTTGTAATTCATCAATATGGGCTGCAAACTAGCTTTAAAAGACAACTGGGTCTATCACCCTTGTCTCTTTGCCTGTCACTCTTCTCCAGCCCCATACTGTTGTGGTCTGAGAATCTGAGAATAAGCTACCTCAAAGACAGGGTTCCAGCAAGCCAAAAACTTATTTTAAAAGCTGATAAATCAAGAAGGAGTCAGGTTTCAGTATCTAGATCTTTTAGGGAGAATCAGTCATTTTTAAAGGAGAAAATCAGAAAGAGACAGCTCCTGAGTATCATAATGTAATATGCGGGGAAACAGTTGGGTTCTTTCCATGGTGGTACACTTTCAACCTATCAGGTAGTCCTGTGGTTTATGTTTGGCCCCAGTGTGGGAGCCAACCAATCAGATGGGGCGGGGGGAATGTTCATGGTGTAGCTTTATTCTAGACTTCTGCTCAAGGGAGTTTGGGGTTTCACTTCAGCCTCAAAAATTCTGTGTATCAGCTCAGGGAAGAATGGCCTGGGAAAAAATGGAATTCATGCTACTAACTAGGATCTAACATTTCCCCATTTTGAGTGGGTCATCAAATCATTGATGTCAGAAATCCAAGTCCTGTAAGTGACCATACTAAACTCCCAGAACTAGGAGCTTAATTCTATTTATCCTCTTTTGAATGACTCAGTAGAGAGAGTTTAGCAGGGAGGTTGCACATGGCATAATAGCTAGAATTATAACTATTCCTGTTATCAGGATAGTGAACCATAGTGACAAAGGGATTCAAAGCAGCCCCGTGTAACTGATTGGGTTTGTTCCCTTTCCTTTCATCTATGTCTGACTAAGCTCAGACTGTGTCTGATTATTCCCCTGTGGTTAGGATACAAACAAAATTGTTCCCCCATTACATTGGAATTGACATATGTTGGTTGTTGGCATTTATCAATCCCATTATGGAGAACAGGAAAGTCAAATTGAAATGAATCTTAGTTTTAATGGGTCCTGTGGCTGGAGTCATAATGTATACCTGTTGTTTTTGTCTTTGCTGGCTTGTCCTTCTGCTAACTGGATTCAAGTTGGAGTGGTATATGCAGGACTTAATTTTATCCTCTTTCAAAGTTAATAGGGTGGTCAGGATACAGTGTGGGGTAACTTCCAGAAGGGATGCAAGGCTTCTCCTGGTGATGTCTGTTCCAGATGAAGTCTCCTTGCTTGTAGCTCTGAATTTTTGGGCACTGGGGAATTCTCATATATGTGCCATAGCAAGGGGGAATAACCCATTTTGGGTAGGCTGCAGGGCCTGTCTGAACTTAAGCAAAGTAAGATTAGATATCTCACCTAGAACCTCAGATTTGATTTTAGGACAGAGTCAGGTGGGGTCCCAAATATAATCTCATAGGGGATCAACTCCTAAGGAGTAATTATAACCAAAAGAACAGCAAAGGGGAAGATTGCCATCTAGTCCTTGCCAGTCTCCAGTTTTTGCTAAGGTTCCCTTTAAGGTGCAATTCGTTCTTTCTACCTGCTTTGACTTCTGGGGATGATATGCACAATGTTTCCAATTTATCTACAAAGACTTAAACAATTCCTGTATAATATGAGATACAAAAGCTGGTTCATTGTTTGAGTTTTGTGCAGTGTGTAAGCGAAACCTTTAGATGATCTCCTGAGGCAGTTTTTTTTTTTTTGTTTTTGTTTTTTTTTGCCAGTGTGGCAGCTGCCTCTCCTTTTGCTGTAAAAGCTTCTGCCAACCCAAGAAAGCTTCTACCTGTACCAGCAGATATCTAGTCCATAGGGCCTGGGCCTTACCTCAATGAACTCTATTTTCCAAGACTCCAACACCACAATTCTTTCCCCTTCACTGTGCTTCTGGTCCTGCACTGGTCCAGTGTGGGCAGGCCAGATATCTAGAAACAATGTCTTAAAGCATAAAATTAGAGAAAGAATGAGATAACTTTTAGACCACAATGTGAATAATTTTATTTTACCAAGATGGGTGCTCTCACGAAGCTGTTTGTTCAAAGCCCTTCTCAGAATCTGGGATAGGTTTATGCGCCTGTTGGACTATCCCGGTTTTGTTAACTCATTGGTCCATCCCTAGAAAAAGTCATCATCCCTAATTAAATGGGTAGGCAGTTCTGGTAGTATTGGAACCAACAGCAGGAGCATTATTAAGGGTGGAGTCAGTTGGTCCACTTCCCTAGTGTCCTGCCATCTCAAATTCCAGAGGGCATCTATGAAATCAAGAATTTCTGGCCTGCTTTTGATTGATTTACCTTTTACAATAAGGAGGATCTTTTTTCTGTATATGGCCCCTGCAAGTGTTAAGCCTCTACACCTCTAGAGAGAAAGATAACTTGAGTGTTGAAAGTCAGGTAGTATCTGGAAGAGTTACAGCCCTAGAGGGGAAAGGTATCCTGACCTGTCAGGAAGTCAGGTTACAACTGCAAATGTTACTGTTCTAGAGGGAAATATATCCTGACTATTGGAAGTCAGGATATACCTGAAAGAGTTACACAACTAAAGGGAAAAGTATATCCCGACTTGTGTGAAGTCAGGATATAACTGCAAGTTTTACTGTTCTGGAGGCAAAGCTATCCTGACTGTTGAAAGTCAGGCTATACCTGGTAGAGTTACAGCCCTGGAGGGAAAGGTATCCTGATTGTTGGGAAGTCAAATTATACCTGAAGCTGTGAAGGGAAGGTATCCTGGATACCAACTACAGCTCTGAGAGAAACACATACTGACTTGACAGGAAGTCAGTCTATACCTACATTTGTGAATGGAAGGTATCCGGGAATCCTGCAACCATCAGGTAAAGGTATCCTGACTTATTGGAAAGTCAGACTATACATAGCGCTGGGTTATGGTGGGCGTTGGTCTCCCCACAGGATGTGACAATCCTTTACCTCTCCCAGAGAACTTACAGCTGAACTCTGCTCCCCTCCTCTACAGGAGTTTCCCATTAGTGAGGGTCCTTTCTTCTCAACTCTGGCCCAGCTATTACTTCTTCTGCTTCACTCTGCTAAAGAAGGAACCACTACAGAAATGTAAATGTAAATGTAAAAAATTCTTCTCCAGTGCCTGCCAAGGGTTGGTACTTCTGCTCTGAAGGCGTAAGTCACAAACAATGCCACACCAATTCGGGGTCATGATTATTAGGGTGGTATTTATTTAAAGGGGAAAAAACTTACAGATCACTGTCCCAGGCAACAACCCTCTATGCAACCAGGAAAGGAGTCTAGTCGCCTGCGGAGCAGGAAGTGAAGAGAGAGAGGAGAGGGAAGTGGCCGCTTTTTTAAAGGGAGAGAAACCACGCCCCAATGGGCTGGTACCTCAGCGGTGATAGGCAGGAGGAGTGGGAGGACCTCCCGCAACACCTCCCCCTTTTGTTTAAATAAGAGAGTTCTAAACCTACTATGAAATTAAATACAATAAGTACAAATATCCTATTCTAACTAGCTTAGGTCTTGTATAATAAATAACTTGGCCAAGTCATGAGAGAAAGTAACTACATTTATATAGTCTTCAACCCCATCAAAGATCTGAGAAGGGAAATAATGTTACCTGGGTAATTAGGAAGTTTAGTAAAACAACTTCCAAAACATGCAACAAATCACAGAGACAACTGGCTACCTGGGCAATCACCCAAAATCACGTTAGCAGCGTTGAAGCAACCAACTTTGGCTAAGGCCTAACATAACTGACATACCATTTTCAAAGGCAAGCAACTTTTCAAAACTATCTTACCCTGTCTTGGCAGGATATGACAGCCCGGTTTTATCCATTGATGCACGCTCTGTATCTTTGTCAGTCGTTGAGGTATGGGCATTTCTTTGCCCCAAGGCCAGTTCTGCCAAAAAGAAGGCTCCAGGTGGAGTGTCTTTGGTGCTCAACATTCTCTCGGGAATAGAGTGGTGTTGCCAGGAGCAATTGTGTCTCACTACCACAAAACTCTGAGTTAGATTAAAGGCCATTTTCTACAGCTCTTTGAAGAAGTTGAAGATTATCTATCTATACTGAGTATAATCTCTATATATCTAAAGAACCTGATTAGTCTATTATAAATGACAAACTTAGATGACTATTAGTCTATATAATTCCCAATATCTATCTAACTTAAAGACTAAGACAAAAAACGACTGTGAAACAAATGAGGACAATGACCTCCAAATATAAACAATGTACAAATATACATTGCAGTAGGTAAATATATATCAATACACAAATATTATATAAGTATCTTAATCAGAGGTAGAAATGTACACTGCAATATGGTAAATATATACAATATATATATATCAATACAATATATGTCAATACATAAAAAATGTTTTAAACAGAGGTAGAAACATGCATGCGTACAATAGTCAATATAATTTAACTTTGTATCAATATACAAGAATCTATACCAATGTATTTGTCTAAAAACAGTAACTCACAATTACAAATCTATTATCCCATCATCCCTCTTTTTTTTTTTCAAAATGATCCCTGAGCTTATAAAATTCCTCCCCCAACCCTCAATCGTATACTAATTATAATCAACCCCTAAATGATGTCCCTAAACCCAAGGGCAAACTTTACTGGGAGAGGGGACGTCGTCCTCTAGAATTACTTCCAGCTGTCATGGGGGCGACGTTCTTTCTGGGGGATGCTGTGAAAGTAAAATGATGGTTAAATTTCAAGATCAATGTCTTTTAAAATTGCCAATAGTCTCTGAGTATTTTGTGCAGGTCTGGCCAGAATGTTGTACAAGATGTGCACCATTTCAGCTAACCAAGTTGGAACTGTCTTGTGCAGCTG